ATAGCTTTGACTAGATGGACCTTTGTTGGCAAAGTAATATCTCCACTTTTAAATACATTGTCTAGGTTTGTCATAGCTTTTCTTCCAAGGAGCAAGTGTCTGAGCCCAATGCACTCTGGCTAATCCTGCAGGTGCTGAGGTCAGGAAGGCGGTCTTGGGACCAGGCTGGACAGAAAAGATCATCATCATTGGATTCTCAGCCATGTCCTCCCTCATCGTCTTGGGAACTTACACATCATGAACCAGAAAACTCCAGCTATCTCTGGGACATGGGGCACAGTGGGGAAGCTCTCTGGAAAGTCATCCAGAATCACACAATCACATTTGTTTCACCGGGGGCAGGCTGCATTCTTTTCATCATTCATTAAACAAAAACAACAACACATCAGTCCAGGGTATCCTATGTGTCAAGTCATGGAAACACTGTGATGAACAAGCCTGGCTTCACGACCTCACAGTCAGTCGGGCAGTGATGATTCAGTACCCTGAATGCGCTGATGGGAGAAGCTGAGGCAGCTGAGGGCATCCAGAGGAGGCCCCTGACTCAGTCTGGAAAGCAGAGAAGGCTTCCTGGAGGAGGTGGTGTTGAGGAAGAGTTCTGAAGTTGGTGGAGGAGTTAGATAAACAAAGTGGGGAAATGAGATGTCTAGGTAGAGGATCCTGTGTGTACAAGGTCCAGAAACTCAGGTGAGGGAGACAGTGTTCCAGGGCAGAGCCTTTAGCCCCCTTCAGGGGACAGAGTGAAGTTTTGCTCTCAACCCTGCTGAGAGCATCCTGGCCGGGGGAGGGGGTGATACTGACAGGTGGCAGCTCTCTCTTGCCGAGGGCTGTGACATCTCCCCTCGACAACAGGGGCTGAGGACCTCTGGGGTCCTCGGCGCGGGGCTGGTGACGGCAGCGGGCTCAGAAGAGGATGCGGAGGAAACTGGCACTCGTAAGCGTGGCAGTGGGCTTGGAAAGGATGCAAGATTTTCCTGAGATGACTGACAGGAGATGGAATGGAACTGAGAGGAGGGCGGATGGAGGAGATGCATCTGTGAGCGGGATGGAGTGGACACAGCTGAGCTGAGGCTGGCCAGGGCAGAGTGGGGCAAGCGTGGTGACTGAGCAGTGTGTGTGGAGTATTCACCAGATGGTGTGTGCACACACACTTCTCATCAGTCATTTCAAATGCCCAAGAGGACCCTTGGCTCACCAAAAATATATATATATTTTTAATAGTGAGGTGGGTGACCCCAGTTCTCAACCCAACCGGACTGCTGGGAGATGCTTTAAGCAGTGAATAGAGCACAGATCTCTATCACTGTTCTTGTGATTAGAAATAGGGGATGTTTATAACACATTCACCTTGTCCCAGGTGCTGTGGACATGAGTTGTCCACCCTCCACAGGCTCCTAGGTAGGTAGCCAGGGACTGACTAGAGAAGAACTTGGTCACCTCCCCCAACTCCAACACACACTCTGAGATCAGACCTGTGTCCGGACAGACCCAGAGACACTTGCTTTTTACAGCCCCACAGGCCCATTTGTTGTTTAGTCCCTCAGTTGTGTCCAACTCTTAGGGACCCCATGGACTGTAGCCTGCCAGGCTTCTCTGTCCATGAGATCCATGAGGTTTTCCAGGCAATAATATTGGAGTGGGTAGCCATTTCCTCCTCCAGGGGATCTTTCTGACTCAGGGATCGAACTCATACATCTCCTGGCTGTCCTGCATTGGCAGGTGGATTCTTTACCACTGAGCCTCCTGGGACTCCCACAAGCCTGTTTACTTGGGGCTTTGATCTCTTTTCAACAGAACCTACATTGTTTCCAACCTTGCTAGGAAAATCTCTTGACTCCTGGGCCTCTTCTAGTTCTCAGGAAAATTCAGCCCCATCCTTAGATGCATGGCCACACCTGGGAGGAAAAGGCAGTGGCCAGGTGAGCCTGGACAACCTTTCTAGCCTCCTCTTGAGTGATCCAGAAAGTCTGACCCCTTGTATCCTTATAATACTGCTGTTAGGGCATGAAACCCTGTTATCAGACCCATTTCACAGAGGGGCCCACCAAAGCTCAGAAAGGTGAGAATCACTTGAGCAGGGTTACACATATTCACTAAGTGGTCAAGGCTGGATACGCATCCCGCGCTTCTGAATCCACCGTCTCTGCCCCCCTCCTCCGATGCCCTAACCAACACAATGTGATAAGGTTAAATCCACGTGCAGATGGAGGACTCTGATAGTGCCCTGACAGTGTGCTAAGAAGGGAGTGAAAAATCACCCATGACTTCAGAAGGGACAGGAGCGGGTCTTCAAGCATGCCTAGGAGGTTGGGGAGGAAGGCACAGCGATCGGGGAAGGAAACAGCATATGCAGAGGTGTGCCTGTGACAGATGAACTGGGGGGTTTGGTGTGGTTGGAGGGTGGGGTGCAGGGTAATAAGGTGAGGCAGGAGGGAGCGGCCGGGAGAGGAGTCAGGAACCCGACTTTAAAGGACTGGGAGGCCACACTGAAGTGTCTGTGGGCTCTGAGGATGCAAAGTTGTCCACGGAGGGCAGGGCTGGATCAGGTCTGCTGAGGGGAGGCAGGGCTGCCCGGTGGTTCAGAACCAGCTGGAGAGCCAGGCTGCTGCGCCGAAGCCCCGGGGCTGGGGCTCCTAGGTGCGTGTCCTTGGGTGGACCACGTGACTGCCCTAAGCTCTGCTGTCCTCATCTGCACGGTGGGGACGACGCTAACAGAAACATGTAACTCGAGAGTTACCTGGAGGCGGAGAGGACACAATTTGTGCCTAGCATCCCGCAGGGTGACAGATAAGTATTCGCTGCCATCATCATTACTGGAGGAGGCCTCTAGGGGCAGCACTCAAGAGGCAAGAACACGGGGGTGGGGGGCGCAGGGAGACCAAGGATGGGATTAAAGGGGCTGCAACGGAAGCCCAGGCCAGCCTGGAGGACCCCTGGTTCAAGGATGCATCTGTGGGGACAAAGCGTGGACTGCAGATTTGCAGGAAGACTGGTGAGCATCATATAAACAGAGGATTAAATAAATGAACACGTAGGGGATGGTTTTGTAAACCGTACACATTCTGGGATGATTACAATTACGGCTATTTTCATCAACTTTATTTCTGGGCCCATCGGCTTCGGTTCTCTGGAGAGAAGCTACCATTTAATTCTCCGATCAAATATTTAACAAGCACGACGCTGAGCAAACCCAGCCTCGCCTAGTGAGTATGCTCTTGGTATTTTCAGTTGCCAAGTGCAACGCCCGAGGTTTACCACCTAGGCGGACAGGATTCTCCGCCTGAGACTGTTTCTCTGTGATGGAGACTGTACAGACGTCATCAAGGCCAGGAATGCGGTACCTGGAGCCCGTCTGTGTGGGTTTGAGTCTCAGTTCTGCCCTTGGGCCAGTTGCTCAAGCTCTCTGTGTCCCCAACAATAAAATGAAAAGAATCTTAGAATTACCTTATGGGGTTGTACTAAAGATTCCCCATGACAGTAGACCAGTGTCGGCGATATAAAATATATTTATCATCATCGTCATCAGCATTGTCAAGATCGCTCTTCTCAGTATTTCTATTGGTTGTGAAAAATGTAATAATTTTTCAGTAGAACATGTTACGTATGTTGACTTGCAACGGTTTATGATTGTGATTTGTAAATAAAGAAATGTTTTTAAAATGCATCCGTGTTAAATTTTTTTACAATTTTATCTATTTGGTTGCACTGGGTCTTTTTTTTTTTTTTTTTGCTTTGCGGGCTTTTCCCTAGTTGTGGCGAGCAGGGGCTACTCTCTAATTGCAGTGCGTGGCCTTCTCATTGCAGCGACTTCTCTTGCGTTGTGGGGCATAGCCTGTAGAGCATTCAGACCTCAGAGGTTGCAGCACGCGGGCTCAGTAGCTGTGGGTCCTGGGCTCCAAAGCACAGGCTCAGTAGCTGTGGCGTAAGGGCCGAGCAGTCCTGCAGCACGTGGGATCTTCCCGGACCAGGGACCGAACCCGAGTCTCTTGCATTGGCAGGGGGACTCTTTACCACTGAGCCTCCAGGGAAGTCCCGTGTTGATTTCTAACAGGGTGATTTTTACTGATATAGAGCACGTATACACAAACGCTCTGGAGGATCCTCCACCATTTTTACGAGTGTAAACAGACTTGAGGCCAGCAAGTTTGAGAAAGGAGAGACAGTGAGCAGTTACAGCGTATCAACATCAGGGAAGCACTGGTGTTTGTCTGGGGCACCTGGGATTAGACCGCCTGGGGGTCTCTAGACCTGTCTCTGGAGTGGGGGCTTTCAAGGCAGGCCAGACGAGGCTCCCACGATGGCAGCTGGGTGGGCCAGATGTTAGGGGAGCAGGTCTGACCACCCCCCACCCTACCCACACCCCATCAGTGACCCCCAAAGCGCCGTGGGCTGACCGCCCTCCAGAAGCTGCAGGCTGAACTTCACGGCTGCTACACCACTCTAAGGGCCATCAATCTCCTCTGTGTCAGGACCCAGCGCTTGGCTTCGGTCCACGCGCTTGTCTGCTCTGGGAGTTGGTTTATTGTCTCTCTACTTTGGCCCCGGAAGAGCGCCATTCTACTAATTACAGGGGACTTTATTCCAGAAGGCCTCTGGAGAAAGTGTACATAGAGTTATCACATCACAGACAGGCTGAATCCTTGTCCCCACGGGGTCACTGTGGGGAGAAGAGTGGGAACAAAAACCTTCTAAGTATGTAGTAGGCTCAGGGCCCGGTGTACTGGCGTTTCCATGTGTGGTTCAAGAACAGTTCCGGCATGCTCTTATTAGCTGTGTGACCTTGGGCAAGTGGCTGCACCTCTCTGGTCCTCAGTGTTTGCAGCTCTACAGTAGATATAATCATCACTGTGATCCTTGTGGAACTGCAGCGGGGATGGAGTGAGACTTGCGCCTGTAGGTGAACCGGAAGCCTCCCCAATGGGTACCTGATGCCATCCCTGAAAACAGAGTATCGCTGCGGTCTCAGTGAACCTTCCCGATAACCCCACACGTAGAGGAGGATGGACCCGAGGCCCAGCGAGATGAAGCGAGTGTCCGAGGTCACAACGTTATTAAGCGGCAGAGCTGAGAGTGGAGCCCGGTGCTGCCTGAATCCTAAGCAGAGAATCGGGCGCGTGGCTCGAGTTGGGGTGAGCTGAAGCCAGGAGCCGAGAGTGCTGTCTGCCTGGTGACGCCTCGGTTCCATCCGAGATCTCATTTTCCCTCTCTTTCACCTTGAAGCGAGTTGCTGATATTTGATAGGGAACTCGACATGAAGCATAGGATTTGTGTAATCATTTTGTCTCCGTGTCTATTTCTCTGTCCCTGAGTGAGGAGGAGGAGGGGGGTCGCAGACCATCTTTTTGACTAGAGCAGCAGTCCTGTCGTGGCTTCAAAATGACCCCTAAATATTTCAAATCATTTAATTTTTTTCTTTCCTGAAGGATATCAGTTGTAAGGACAAGGGTTTGGGGGAAGAAAAAAAGAAACCTACTTCGATTTGCACTGAAAGAAAGGATGCTATTATGGGAACCAGGTGTGGAAGGAAGCAGGGAGGAGAAGGAGGGCCAGGAGGGACAGTGAGTGAGCGTTTCCACAATTGTGCTGCTGAATTAAGGCATCAAGAAAATGCCCCAATTATGGCATCAAATGGGGGAAAGATAGACATGAAACTTACCTTGAAAATGAACATGGTAGTGGAAAATTGAACAGCTTCCAGATCAAGGGCTTCTACCTATTTGAAGAGAAAGAGCTGCCTTTATTTCCTTGATATATATCACTTGGGGAAGAAGAGGAAAAACTATCAAATAGGGGAGCAGTCCCCAATCTTTTTGGCACCAGGGACCGGTTTCATGGAAAACAATTTTTCTGTGGACAGGGGCGGGGCGGGGAGAGGGTGATGACTCAAGGACATTACATTTACTGTGCACTTTATTTCTATTTGGAGACGGAACTGGCAACCCACTCCAGTACTCTTGCCTGGGAAATCCCATGGACGGAGGAGCGTGGTAGGCTGTAGTCCATGGGGTCACAAAGAGTCGGACACGACTGAGCAACTTCACTTTCACTTTATTTCAGCTCCTCCTAAGATCATCAGGCATTAGATCCCAGAGGTTGGGGACCCCTGAGATTATGTGTGTGTGTGTATGTGTGTGTGATGGAGAGACAGAGATACAGAGAGAAGCAGAGAGAGGCGGGGAGGGGAACATACAGATACAGAGGGAGAGAGAGAAAGCTGTGGAGAGGGACACAGAGAGGGAAATAGACACAGGGTGGTTGAGACGGATGGTTTAAGTGAACGAACCAGGTCCAGTCCCGACAGAGGCATCAGTAGGTCTCCGAGCTCCCCGTCTGTCCCACTGCCTCTTTTCCTTGCCCGTCTAAGCCATCCTGGTAAGAGCCCAGGGACCACCACCAGCGTGAGACCCGTAACCCCCACCTCTTGATTTGGGACACCCTGGTGTCCAGTCTGTAAACTATGGGCTGAACGTCTCCCCGGGGTGAACAGATTCCACTTGACCCCTCTAGCGAGGATATGGTGGACTGGTGTGGTCAGAAGTCTGAGTCCAGACCTAGCTCTGCTGGGGCTCGCTGTGTGATCTTGGACAAACTTACCTAACCACTCTGGGCCTCGGGTTTCCCGCTTGAGGCTCGTTCCTCTCCTTCCTCCGTATCAGGGCTGGTGTGAGACTTTAAATGCGATCATGGTTCTGAGTAGGCATCTAAAAGTTAAAAAGGAAAATATATATATACCATATATATGAAATGCTTAATTTTTATTTCCAGGGGTCAATACCCGCTTTGCTGCATTCCGTAGATAACTCTCCAATTCTCCTCTTAACAGTGAGGAATCAGTCCAGGCAGAAAAAGGATCGCTGTGTTTCCAGGCGGTGGGAGGAAAGTGTTCGGGAAATTTATTTCTTGCTCTGTTCCAGAGGAAAACCCTTGTAACAGGCCATGAAACACAATGGGGAGAAGATGGAAATGGTAATAATAATGACAATGAAAAAAGGGAAGGCCAAGCGACTCGGATCAACTATGGTAATATATGAGGAGAGCCCTGGGTGATTTTTTTCCTCCCCCGCCAACTTCCTGGCTTCATTTCCATCACCAGCTTCTGGATGGGTGGACAGCGGCTAGGTACTAATAGTTCCTTTTGGGAGTGGATTATGGATGTGACCTTCCCTTTCCAGTGCCTTCCTCTTGGTCTTGAGATGAATTCTGAAAGGAAACAACTCAGCGGGCCCCCGGTCCTCCTGATTTCAGGGAGCAGGACCCCTCTCTGGGTGGTCCAGAAACAAGCGGCCGTCATCCGGGCAGGAGCTTGTCCTCCACCCTCTCAGGCCTTCGGGCAGCCCTGGGACAGCAGCTCCAAAACTGCTCGCTAAATCAAGGGGGCTTGGCAGGCAATGGGTTCCTCTGGGTGTTTCCCTCATCGTTGTCTGGAATCCTCCAGAAACAGGACACGAAACTGCTTTGTGACCGAGAATCTTTGGGATGAAGTGGCTGAGTTGCAGCCAGGTGGTCATTCACGCTCCATCCTCATACCTGCCCTGGCAGGTGCATTTTATCAACACCCCAGCTTCGCGGGAGGAGCCTGGAAGCGTCCTGGCGACAGGGAAGGGAAGCTGGGGTGCGGTGACACCTGCCCTGGCTCCCTGTATGACCCCCTACACTCCTGGGTCCATGGAGTCTCTTCATCTATCAAGCGGGGGAAGCAACTCCTGCTTCATTTTGTGGAGAAGAGGGAAATGTACATAGAAATGTCCTGTCTTGTATACATAGGAAGTTAAAAAACAGATAAAAAGTTGACTACCATCGACTCATGTATTTAGTACAAGGGCCTCAAAGGGAATTAGTAACTTGCCCAGGGAAACAGAGCTGGAATTGGGTTTGAAGCCTGGTGTTTAGACTGGACTCCAGAGCGCTTCTTTTTTTTTCTTTTTAATTAAAAAATTATTTATTTATCTGGCAGTACCATGTCTTAGTTGTAGCATGAAGGATCTTTCTTTTTAAGTTATGGTGTGTGGGATTTTTAGCTGTGGGGTGCACACTCCTGTTGTGGCATGTGGGGTCTAGTTTCCTGACCAGGGATTGAAGGCAGCCTCCAGCATTGGGAGCGTAGTCTTAGCCACTGGTTGTTGTTGTTTAGTCTCTAAGTCATATCTAACTTTTGCAACCCCACAGACTGAAGCCCACCAGGCTCCTCCGTCCATGGGATTTCCCAGGCAAGAATACAGGAGTGGGCTGCCATTTCCTCCAGGGGACCTTCCCGACCCAGAGATCAAACCTGTGTCTCTGGCGGCTTCTTTACCACTGAACCACGAGGGAAGCCCCTTATTCCGGGACCACCAGGGAAGCTCTGACAATGTTTGCTTTCAGTTAGGCTGTTTCCTGCATCAGAGCAACGACACTAACATTTTGGTGGGAAAGTGACACGGCCTGTCTCCTTGATGTCTCCTGGCTTCTAACGGCATCTCACCTTCCCCAGAAAATACTTTGCAAAGACAGACGTTCTGTCTTCCCCTTCATCAAAACTTACCTGACCAGAGACCCATTCCTTCAGAGCTCAGCCTGCAGCCTGCTCTCATGCATTAAAATCCAGAGCCACGTTCCCAAACCAGTAAAAAAATTAGATAACTTTGGGGGCCAGGGCAGGTGTAACAAATGTGAGAGGCGGCCGAACGTGAGGCATCAGGGAACACTGGGGTCTGGGGCAAACCCTAATTGTGTACATTAATTGTCTCAATTCACAATTGAAAGTTTAATTATCCTAAGTCAAAAATCATTTGAAAATTTATGGTTTAAATAAATCATTAAATGGAAACATTAAAAATTAAATATAGTTAAATTATTAAACATATTGTTCACTTAAAAGTAATTATCCCAATTAAACATTTAAAAAAAATTTCACAGATAAAAACAGGCCTTGAGGCACCACACATTCTCAGACCACTTGTAAGCTTCATGTAATTCAGCTTCTACGCTCTGCAGAGAAAACGCAGTTTGCTCACGGCCAAGTCACTGACAAGGTGGCTGAAGCCACAGAGGCTTCAAAGCCCTGTTTCTCTATGCCCAGTCCAGTACTTGTTCAGCTCTGAGTCCTAACTAATTCACACTATGGTGTTAATGACTGACTGAGCCTTTGCATTATTCTTGAAAAGGTAACAGTCATGGTAGGAGCCGATGTGCTGTGACAGTGTGTTGGGAGACATTTGAGAGTGGAGGCGCCCCTTGGCAGGCGCCCTAAGAGTTTCTCTCTGCATTTCCAAGGAGGAAGGAGCATACTGACTGCTCACAGGTAGCGGTGGTGACCATCACTTCCTGTCTGTTTCAGGCAAGAGAGGCATCTCAGGGTGCATGGCTCCCTCTTAGGGACCCAGTGCATCCGTTCCATGCCAGCCACCTCTCCCCAGTCCAGGGTTTTCCCTCAGCACCAGAACCAGGTTGGTGATGAATGCACAGCAATGCTGGCTCCTTCTGCGTTCCTGTGCTTTCTGGAGGAGGACGCACGAGGCCCTTTGTTTGAATTCTGTGACCTTTGCAAGCACACGCCTGCTCCTTCGATTCTGTTGCAGGGGTACATGTGAAAACCCACGAGACGTGGAAGGAAAATGAGAGACTTCCCCACCCCCGCAGTTCCCCTGGGTTCTGGCTTGCTTACGTGGGTACGAGGAGGCTGCACGGTCTTTTCAGATAGAGAGTCGATTTGTGCAATACACAGGTCTTGAGGAGACTCTGCTTTTCCCGTCTCAAAGATGGGGAGAATATGGGGATTCCCTGGTGGTCCAAGGATTAGGAATCAGCGCTTTCACTGCCAAGGGCCTGGGTTGGACCCCTTGTTGGGGAACTAAGATCCCTTAAGCTGTGTGCCAAAAGGAAAAAAACAGGATGAATGCCAAGACAAAACCGGAAAACACAGCCAATGGAACCAGCAAATGCCTCCCACATAATACGAGCTCAATAAAGAAGGACAACAGAGTGACTCAGGGAGTTCTCTGGTGACCTAGTATTAGGATTCCGGGCTCTCACTGCCACGGCCCGGATTCAGTCCCTGGGAGCTGAGATCCTGCAAGCCGTATGGCGTGGACTAAAGAAAAAAAAAACGTAGTGTAACAGTCTTAGGGGAAGTATCCTGAAGTACAGGATCACAAACTATGGCAGTGGGCCAAGTAAAATGATTCAAATTTCATTGGAAACATCTGTGTCATTTCATGTGGGCATTATAAGTAGCTGCCTTTGTGGCACAATGATAAAGTTGACTAGTTGCTGACAGAATTTACTACCTGGCCCGTTGCAGAAAAATCTTGATGACCTCTGACCTAGAGGAATCAAACCAGGGCTGGGCTCAGGGTTATGGAACAGGCTGCTTTGCTTCTCTGAGCCTCAGTTTTCCCATCTCTAAAATGGGAATGATAATTAGAATGGGAATGAGAAGGATGTCACAAGGAGTACGCAGTATAGGGCCTGGCACACAGTAGGGACTTAGATGTTAGTTCTCTTCCTCCCCCTTGTCTGCAGCCTCTTGATCTCACGCTGGGGACCTCTCTTCAGGGTTTGGTAGCCGGGCCAGACAAGGCCAGTTGTCCACAACAGTGTCCAAGGGCCATTATTTGAAGAGTGGGGGCCAGGAGCACGCCTCTGCTGAACTGTTGACCTGCATGAACAATTTGTTTTCCCACCATCCTTCCCAGGGGTAGGTATGTTTTCATTCCCATTCTACTGACAGGGACGTTGAGGTTTTAGAGAGTTAAAAGGGAAGAGGAAATGCTGTTCACCTCGCTTAGGGCAGTGCTTGCACTTAGCAGTACAGTGACTACTAGTAGTAGTGATTAGTACTAGCAGTAAAGTTTCTAAGTGGTGGTACTGTGCAGCAGTAGTTGGGCTTAGCAGTGGTATCACTAACTAGTAGCAGTAGTGCTGCTAAGTAGCAGTACTTAGTATTCATGGTAGTGTTCCCAGGTAGTACTTAGTACTTAGTACCAGGTAGTACCAGGTAGGCACTTAGTACTTGAGTTGGCACTTAGTACTACTAGTAGTGCTTACTCATGTTATAGCTTAGTAGTGCATGCATTTGGTGCTTGCACTTAGCAGACCCATGCATATGTGTTGGGTTGAATGAAGTATAATTGACACTGGTAAAGGATACACACATATATATAAAGTCTGCTTCAAACATGCAAAGATGCTTTTCATGCAGACATATTGAACATGTAGTGTAAGTGCTAAAAGAAGATGTATTAGGAAAAATAATGGCATCTGTAGATAATGAAAGTAGCAAGCACATTTAAAGTGCTTTATTAGATTCTAGGCACTTTACACAAATTGACCTATTTAATCCTCACAACAATCTACGATTACCCTCACTCTACAGATGCAGAGACTGAATCACAGAGAGGTCGAGTAATTTGCCCTAGGTCACACAGCAGGAAATTGGGTGGAGCTGGGATTTGCATTCCAGCAGTTTGAGATCAGAGGCCATGCTTTTAATTGTTTTACTATATCCTGTCTCTTTCAAGGCACTGGCTGAAGAAATTGTGGCTGCAAACAAAACGACAAAGAATAACGAAATCAATAAGCATCATGGCCCATAAAAACATCTAAAGAGAGATGTTGAAAAGATATAAAGCCCATCTTGTCTTAGGAGAAGGGCTTCAGAACACTGGAAGTCTCCTCCCCTCTCTGGACCTCAGTTTCCCAATCTGTAGTATGGGGAGATGTCCTCCCATGCCCCTTCCCATCTGGGGTCCCAGGTTCCCTCACAGCCCCTCAGCTGCCAGCTACAAAGCCAGGAGCCTGGAGCTGTGAATTCAGGTCACATGGGATGAAATGCGCTGATCATTTCCCAGCAGGACCTGCTTCCCCACAGGCTCCCTATGTGCCTGGCAAAACGGAAACAAGAGACTGAACACTTTTATCAAAGGAGCAGCTTGGGAGAAGCTGGAAGGCTCTGAAGCCTCGGGAAGGCAAATCAAAGGCACACTTTGAGGACACACTTTGTGAAGCCAAAGAACATTCCATGGTGCTTGCAACAGCATGATCGAGTCTATGGAAGGTAATTTATTTAATACTTGGAGCAGAGCGAGGCTGCGTCTGTTCATGTCTCCAGGCTGAAAAAGCAGACCCAGAAGGGAAGTCGGACAAGCATGCAGCAATCTGTTTGTAAGATAATTGGCATAAAAATGCTATTTTTCCCTCACCTCTTGAGTTATTTGGGTGCTTCAAGGAAAATCTTCCACCCTCAAACTTTATATAGAAACACAGTTGTAAAAAGAGGTTTATTCTTTATTCTATCTTTACCTGTCTTTCTACCCATCCATACATCCATCTTGCTATATAGATACCTATCTGAATGCATATTAGATATGTATTAGACCCTTACTTCCTC